TGTTCTAAAAATTGTTATTTATAGTTGAAAGCAACTGCTGCACGTATTTGGGGGGAGAGTATGGTAAGATGTAAAATAACTAAAACTAAATAGACACAGTACATCAAACAATAATTATAAGGACATGTTGATGGCAAATTAGGAAAGAGATTGATTTCCCTTCCTCCTACCCCTGCAACATTGGGAGAATTATTTTGCTCATGTTCACAGAACTGTTAGGCCAGCCTTTATAGAGCTATTAGGTGAACTCAGTCACGACCTAGACTCTGTAATAAAAGTCAACTGATTCAGTTCTGAATGCTGCAGCCAACCCTCCTGATCTAGGGGTAGAGGTGGGGGTGGCAATCTTGGGTATACGTTTTTCTTTCTGTTCCTTTTTTTTTTTTTTTACTAAATCTCCTTTTCTATTTGTAATTTTTTTCATATAGACAAAAGTTTCTATTTAAAAATAACCTTTGTTCAGAGAGTAATTTTACCAAATTATGGTATAATTATACTACCAACATTTGATCTTTTAAAATAGCCTCTAATAATCAGAAATGTTCAACTGCACTTTTGGCAAAAGTTATTTTTTTAAATAACTTCTATAGTTCTCCCATCCTGCACACTTTTGTTTTGTAGCCAATATGTCAGGTAACACATATTCGTTAACCTTCTACTTTGTGCCAAGAATTGCACAGGACCAGATGTCGAAAGCATTGAAAAAGTTAAAAATGAATTAGGATGCCAACACAAAAATGTACAAAAATTAACAGTATAAAACAACAGAGATGTCCCAAAGCTGTGTGTGTGATTCTTTCCTGAGTGAGAGAGTTAAATGCTGCCTCCAGGGCAGGGGCTGGGGGGCTCCCATAGACCAAGTTAGACTGAGGTGGAATGCTAACTATGGACATGTCCCAACATGGGTAGGTGATGAATGGTCATGTGCATGCCTGCTGATGAGCTTACAGAAGGGGAAGATCTGTGTGGCCCGGGGCAAGATTTCTTAGAGGTGACAAGACTGGTCTGTACCTTAAAGACAGGTAGAATTTGAATGACAGGCAGAGATTAATGGGGAGGGCTTTCTATCTGAGGTGAGACCATGACCAGAGGCAGTTAGGGGTTAGACTGGGAAAACAGGTCCATGGCATAGTAGCTGGAGACTATACTGGCTAGAGCAAGGTACCTATAGAAACCCTTGATTTCCATGAGAAGAAGTTTAAACTTTCTTCTGGATACATTCATTTATTATTTATTCACTGTGCACATATTTTGAACTAAGCACCGTGAGAAGCTGGGGATACACTAGAGATCAAGAAACACAGTCTTGTGTCTCACGAGGAGTATGCCCTCCAGACCTGTGGAAGTGATAGGCAATTAGGAATTGAGAACATTCTGCACTGTAATGGGTCCATGAAGGGGAATTATCTGGTGCACTGGGACCTTTTGGAAGGGACAACTCACGAAGACCAAAAGTTAGTCAGGCAAAGATGAGGAAGAAGAGCTTTCCAGCCAGAGGAATAACAGGTGTAGAGGTGGGAAGACAAAGACAGCCATTTTGAAGGTTTACTGAGTTCACACTATCTGCCTAGCAATGCGTCCCCCTCCCACCAATAGTGGGGGAGACAAATACAGGAGGTGGTTTCTGCCCCCAAAGCACTTAGTGTCTTTTCAGAGAGAGACATCTAAGAAACACCAAATAATTTACTCTAGAAGTAAGATTTAGGAAAGAGAAAATTGAAGGAAGTCATGGAACAGTGTGAAATCTTCCTAGAAAAGTTAAGGCTGAAGCAGTTGTAGAGAGGTGGGTATGTGAGAAGAATATTGAGGGGGAAGGATGGTCTTTGAGACCCACCTGGTGTCATGAAGAGGATGCTCATGACCTTGGAGCAGTAGAAAGAGATGACAGTGGGTCAGCAAGTTTTGGTCCCATTGGGGGAACCTTGCCCTTCTGTTTTCTCATTTGTAAATTTAGGAACCTTGACCTTAGTGGTCCCTGAGAGTGTGTCTAGCTTGAAAGTCTAGGTATTTTGGGCTTAATTCCCAAGGCATTAATGAGTTCTGGAGCATTTTGAAACTAACAGAAATCAGTGCATTAAAAATATTAATATCTCTTATTATAGAAAATTACTGGGGTAATTACTAATTTATGAGAAGTACAGTTTTTTACTAAAAATTTTAATCATGTTCTGATGTTCTTAAAACTGCTAGTGGGACCACCCTGATGTCCACTGCACATTGCCTTTTGAGTTCTTTCTCAAAAAAGCAAAAACCAAACAAAAGATAGGGCCTAGAAAAGCCTGATGAATAAGGGAGAGGTTTAGAGCGGAGTCCAAAAAGTGACCTACAAATCCAAATTTTAATTTAGATCCGAAAAACTCTTCAAAGTTTTCAGGGAGACCTTGAGAATTGGAAAATGTATATCTTTTATTTTTGTAGTACCGTTCCTGGGGTGGTCATGCAACAGAGGTGATAATGGGGCGGCGATCCCTCCGGATACAGGAATACGACGCAGCTTACTGGATGCGCCTTTGTCATAATCCAGGACCACGACCGCCTCAGCCTGTCCACCCACGGGAGGTGCCACAGAGATGGCAGCGGGACAAAGGCCTGGTTAGAATAGAATGTGGTCAAATCCTCGATGTAACCTACTTCTGCTATTTCATTCTCCAATAAAACAGTTTATCATCAAGCCATGTGTTTAGTTCTCTGTCCAGATGAAGACTTAAAACTTCCATATGTCAGACTGGAACCGAACGTGGATCTGTTGGAGAGTGCTAATGCCAGGGAGTACTGGCTGAGGCGTCTTGATGTTCAGCTGTGGTCTTCTGTTGGTGGGCCCCCCAGTCCTATTGCTCTTGCTCTCATTTTCCACTCTTGCCAAATATGTGTCACTCTGGTCTCTTGCTCTAAGTACATTTTGCTAGACAAGTAGTAAAGAACACCATGTTCACTAATTATGCTACTTCAAAGGGGGAACATTGGGCTGATTTAAAATAATTATTATAGAGTAGACTGCAAATTTTGGTAACATTTACGAGGTCATAACAGCTCATAGCCTATAACCCTACCAGTTCTTTCATAGCTGTTTAGTGGCTGAAGATGGGCATCAAAGCCAGGGAACAGCTTCTTGCCCTTCCTTTTACATTTCATGACTCAAACCCTACTACGGGTCACAGAGATGGTGGTAGGTACATTCAACATAGAGTCTTGAGTGAACTCAGAAGGGGCAGGAGAGGGCCTCTGCTGGGACATTAGAGAGAAGTGGCCATTACTCAGCTGACTGCTTTCTCCTCTGGGTCTAGTCTTTCAGTTTCTTACTTTTTGTTTTCTTTAAAGGAGATAATTGCACAGAATGTGTTTTTGGCCGAGCTTTGCAAAATCAAAGTTCCCCAAAGTCTTCTGCGTTGCTTGAGAGCAGTATGAGAACCGATGTGCCCTTTTAAAAAACAAAACAAAACAAAAACTCCGTAGGTTAAGGGGACATGGATTTATGCCACCTGAAAATGATATTTATAACTTCAATTTTTTGGCCTTGTAAGGACATCATTCTTAAATAGTTCTTTGTCATGGAAAGTTAACCAAAGATTTAAATTTCAGCAAAACCCAAAATGCCTTGGTTTTTCCGACAGATGAGTTTTCGAAATGCTGCTAAACATCTCTGGATTCTAACTGAAAGTCAGAAAATGCGCGTTAAGGTCTGGCTGACTTACCCGTTTTGGAATCTCTGGTTCCTAGTGGAATGTTGAGAACTAAACAAGTTCCCCCAAAACGATTGTTGAAATAAATAAATAGCATAGTTTTCCAAGGCAGGTTAGGGCCAACCATACAAGTGCCAAAAGCTTTCAAAATTCCATCATACTAGTATATTATGTATTACTCCCTTCCTGTCTTTTAAAAAGGAAGTATATACTGAGCATAGTTTTAAATTGTCTATGATGGCTCAGACAAGTATCTTTAACTGTAGTTCTTGTGATGTACTGAAGGAGTCAACCGTCCATGCAATTGACCTAGGGCCTGGGGCTTAGGAGAACTCCCTTCCTTAAAAGCCCTGGACGTCTCTTTGTGAAAAAAAGGTTTCTAAGAGAATTCATTAATTCAACATCTATTGCAGACCTACTGTCTGCCTGATCTCTAACAGAGGGAATATAGGGAGGAATAATTAAGACATGGTTGTAACCTTGGAAATCGGCCCGGTGAAGGAGACAGACACATAAACACTTAAGAGCAGCAGGATGAGAACTGCACCTCATCAAGGCTGTGGCAAAGCTCGGGAGAGCTCACTGACCTTCAGTTTGTCTGCACGCAGCAGCCTTGGCCTTCAGAGCCCTGGGATGTGCCACACAGAAGCGGACCTCCCCACCTTCAACCGGGCAGCCACATGGGTACTGCTCAGGGCTCCCTTTGCAGGTGCTGCTCACGGACCACGGGCTTCTGCTATAGCACTGCTGTCTCTTGGTTCTGTCTGTGTTCTTTGAGTCAGCCTGCTCATCTTTGGTGCAGTTCCTAAGAACTACCAAGTTGTCTCAGTTAACCCCTCCTCTCTTCCCATTTCTCCTTTCTTCTCTCCCCCTTTCTTCTTAAAGTTCATAGCCATCCCATTAAGTAATAGTGATGGTAGTAATGATAATGACAGTAAGAATCACATTATCAGTTGTTTACTAATTGTCAGGAGCTGTCCTAATTCACGCACTTTTACCCCATCTTATAAATGAGCACCCGAGGCACTGTGAAGTAAGTAACTTGCCCAAAGCCACACAGCTCCTTTCCCCTCACAAAATCACAGAATATTGGGTATAGTCTTTGCATCTCTACAACTTTTGTGGTGGGTATATGTGTGTAGGTGTATGTGTGCATGAGGAAGAGAGAGAGAAAAACACTAAGTCCTTTACCAATAATGAGGTTTTATCTGTGTGCTCTAAGTTTTCAGGGCATTTCCAAATCTTGAGCTGTTCTAGATAGAACTGGAAGGTTCTAGAAGGCAGAGTTTCAGGTATCCAAGGCTTTCCCTTGGGGATGCTCATTTCAGGCAGCAGCTCTCTGCCCAATTGGAGAGAGGTGGGTTTCCTCGGTCACTGGATCATTGCTGACTTCTCAGACCTGGGGTACTGTGGCCTGAGTCTGAGCCCAGGGAGAGAGAGCTCTTAAGACAGAGTTTGCACCAGTTTCTCAGGGATGATTTCATTTATTTTAGTGTTGGGGGTGGGGGGAAGAAAGGAGGAAAGAGGCTATTTTGGGAGGGAAGAGAGATGTATGTTTAGATTTTTGAGGGAAACACTGTTTTTCAACTTCTAGTATTCAGCGCTTTTTAGAGTATTACTACATTACTTTGTCAAAAGTATTTATAATTCTGAAGATATTAAATATATCCATACTTAAATATCAGTACCAAACTGCTCAAAGAAAATATAAGCAGGCTCTTTTGTTTTTAAATAATTCTCACATTTGCTCCTAATGGTTAGTTCAGATAATTCCTATCTTTTGCGTCTATTGGTCCCATTTCTTTTTATCTGCCACAGTAACCAGCTTAAGGCTGAGATATGCCACGTCAGCATTAAGTTCAGAGATTGCATTGAATAAAAAAGGAGGAACATGCTAGGCTTGTGTGAAAGTTGACGCTTTCTAATTCAGGGATGAAAACATGATACGTGCTTTCCCAAGGCATGTATCAGACCGGGATCACCGGCATTCAACCCTTGGCCCCTCGGCACCATGAGAGTAACGTTCAGATTTCCGAGGGATTAATCCAGCTGCAGTTCTGTTGTAGTTTATGGTGTTGCAAAGGATCAACAGCTCAAAACTGGCACAACCTCTGTTTCACTGTCCTCCTCAGTAAATGCTTACTGAGGGTCTGCTGAGAGTAGCGCATTGTACTGATGTTCCTGCATCTCTTGTTGCATAAAATAAAGCTGGGGCAGCACTAGTTTAATTAGATTGAAACATCCTATGAATTTCAAGAGCATCTCTGCTCCTTTCTTTTCCTGCAATGTGCATCAGGTATTGGAATTTTAGTTTACTTCATTATGTTTCTGATCTGTTAGACTCTCTGAATGCTCGCCCTTCAAGGGCAGGAATCCTCTTTGTTCTTCATAATATATTTCAACATGCAGATCACCCAGGATGTTCTTCATTGGCCATTCAGGAAGGATCGTGACCCTATTGACTTAGACTAAAATCAAACTGTGCTTCTTTAGTAATTCGTACTTACTCTACTTTCACTTTCTGGTTATTTCTTGATTTTTTTTTTTTTTTTTTAAATCCTTCCCTTACCATCTGTTTTCTCTCATTTCTCTGGAGCCACCTATAGGAATCCTCTGGGCAAACCGATTCCACCCAGTGCTCCTGAAAAGTAATGTCCTGCACCTGGCATAGCAAAGTATGCATAGAAGAATATTACCTTGCATTTAGCATTTATAAGTGCTTTTCCCAGCATTTCATTATCTACCTAGATTTCCAGAACAATCCATAAAAAGAGAGGGAGCTGCAACTGTTATTCTTAGGATACTGACAAGGAAATCACACAGATTTGGTTCAAGTGACAGGGTGAACCAGTGGCATAATTGTCATGATCCCAGTCATGGGTGGCCTGGTACAGAAGGTCCCCCTGTGACACAGGTTGACAACTTCCTGCACATACCCTTAGTATACTGAGTCTTGGAAATGGAAGGAAGAATGAAAACTCCCAAGTCCTGGAATATCTGATCACTGAGGGGCAGATCTAGAAATAACATAATTCTGCATAGGTTCACCCTAGTGTGTGTGGGTGACTCTAATCAGGATCTGCTGTTTTCCTCTCTTGCCTTCCCAGAAATAGTGTCAGCCATTCATGAACTGTGTGAACATATACAGGTGTCACAAGAGTGGAGTTTTCAGGTGCAGGATAAAGGAAACAAACCCTTAAGTCCCTAGCTGAAGAACAATTATTCTACAGATTTTTTTTTTTAATCTGCTCCCTACAAGAAATATTTTTAAAATTTATTTTTATTCATTAAAGGCAAGATAGAGAAGAGGAAATAGGAGAGCTAAGCTTTGTTCATCTTTCCGCTTTATACACAATTGAAATCAACACCCTCAGGCCCAAACATCATTGGTAATAATCCATAGGCTTCATAGGGCTTCTCAAAATGTGGGGGGTTTCAGACTTGCAAGATACCCTAACTGGGTGAGTTTTGAAAGCAAAGTTTGTAAGTAAATTGAATCTAGATAAAAACAAAACAAATTGTCTTTTTGTAAGTGGCAGTTTCATCCTTAGCATCCCTTGGACATATGTTCGGATAGATCATAGAATCAAGGAGAGAGGCACGGAGAGGTGAAGCACAGCCTTGGTACTGAGCCAGGCATGTGTGTGATGCCTGAGACCAGAGCTGGATTCTCACTCCCACTGTGGTGCCCTTGCTGCCATGCCTCCTCATCCCCACACCTCACTGCCCAAATCCTGCAGAAGTGTATCATCTTGCACAGGACTTAGGATTGTTAACGTTTCCGAGAGACACCTCCATGCAATTATTATTTATGGAACTGAGAGTTTTCTTGTAAAGAAAGCAGATGCCAATTCCTGTTTCTTGGAGTTAATAGCATATTGTTGAGTGTCATGCCACCAAATGAGTTTGAGGTGAGGAATGAATATCTTCTGGGATGCCGGCAATTGCTGGTAAGAAGATTTGACTTTCCCAGATTACCCTCATGTCAAATGTGACATCTCTTTATGTATTACTTTCAACATTCACAATGAAATGTGGAATAGTGTTAACAGAAGCCCAAGGATACCAAAGCTTCAAGATTAGAAGTCACTTTTAGGCTGCCTTTCTTCTCCTCCCCGCCACCCGCCCCCCCAAGTGGGTTGCTGTATTCACTCATTGTAGCAAAGCAGAGCAGATGGGCACACAGACTGATTAGTTATTTATATATATATTTTTTCTTTATGGAGCTTAGATATTGGCTCTTCCTTTAATAAAAGAAAGGAGTTTTTAGATGTTGCCTTGTCTTGATTTCCCTTTTTAATCACAGGGAAAAAGGGGGCACTTTGCTCCTGATCTATTAATAATGTGGCTATATCCTATTCTTAACTGCTGACTTCATAGCTCTCTGTGTACCCATTTCAATCAGAATTTGATTTCTCTCCAATCCTCCAAGCTGCATGTGGTACATTCATGTTCTTTCTGGCTTAGGATTTCTTTATGGAGCTTATCACTTGTAATTCGTTTTTTTAGAAGTGTCTTTCTTGATAAGGAAACTGTCTACAGTACTTTTGGCTTTTTCATCCAAAATGACAAAGACTAGAACTGATTGGTGGAAAGTGAAATTATCCATAATATTACGTCAATAGAAATATTTTCCCATGTTTTTCCTCTTTTGAAAAAAGGTCAGATATCTCTGATTTTTCTCAAAACAGAATTTGTGTATTTCCTTCCTTCCCAATTTTTTATATATTTTTAAAAATTTTTTATTGTTATGTTAATCACCATACAATACATCATTAGTTTTTGATGTAGTGTTCCATGTTCATTGTTTGTGCATAACACCCAGTGCTCCACGCAGAATGTGCCCTCTTTAATACCCATCACCAGGCTAACCCATCCCCCCACCCCCTCCCCTCTAGAACCCTCAGTTTGTTTTTCAGAGTCCTTTGTCTCTCATGGTTCGTCTCCCCCTCCAACTAACTCACCTTCATTCTTCCCCTCCTGCTATCTTCTTCTTCTTTTTTTTTTCTTAACATATATTGCATTATTTGTCTCAGAAGTACAGATCTGTCATTCAACAGTCTTGCACAATTCACAGTGCTCACCATAGCACATACCCTCCCCAATGTCTATCACCCAGACACCCCATCCCTCCCACCTCACCCCCACTCCAGCAACCCTCAGTTTGTTTCCTGAGATTAAGACTTCCTAATATCAGTGAGGTCATATGATACATATCTTTCTCTGATTGACTTATTTCACTCAGCATAACACCATCCAGTTCCATCCACGTCGTTGCAATGGCAAGATCTCATTCCTTTTGATGGCTGCATAATATTCCATTGTGTATATATACCACATCTTCTTTATCCATTCATCTGTCGATGGACATCTTGGCTCTTTCCACAGTTTGGCTATTGTGGACATTGCTGCTATAAACATTGGGGTGCACGTACCCCTTCGGATCCCTACATTTGTATCTTTCGGGTAAATACCCAGTAGTGCAATTGCTTGATCGTATGGTAGCTCTATTTTCAAATTTTTGAGGAACCTCCATACTGTTTTCCAGAGTGGTTGCACCAGCTTGCATTCCCACCAGCAGTGTAGGAGGGTTCCCCTTTCTCCGCATCCCCGCCAACATCTGTCGTTTCCTGACTTGTTAATTTTAGCCATTCTGACTGGTGTGAGGTGGTATCTCATTGAGGTTTTGATTTGGATTTCCCTGATGCCGAGTGATGTTGAGCACTTTTCATGAGTCTGTTGGCCATTTGGATGTCTTCTTTGGAAAAATGTCTGTTCATGTCGTCTGCCCATTTCTTGATTGGATTATTTGTTCTTTGGGTGTTGAGTTTGATAAGTTCTTTATAGATTTTGGATACTAGCCCTTTATCTGATATGTCATTTGCAGATATTTTCTCCCATTCTGTCGGTTGTCTGTTGGTTTTGTGGACTGTTTCTTTTGCTGTGCAAAAGCTTTTTATCTTGATGAAATCCCAATAGTTCATTTTTGCTCTTGCTTCCCTTGCCTTTGGCGATGTTTCTAGGAAGAAGTTGCTGTGGCTGAGGTCGAAGAGGTTGCTACCTGTGTTCTCCTTTAGGATTTTGATGGACTCCTGTCTCACGTTTAGGTCTTTCAACCATTTGGAGTCTATTTTTGTGTGTGGTGTAAGGAAATGGTCCAGTATCATTCTTCTGCATGTGGCTGTCCAGTTTTCCCAACACCATTTGTTGAAGAGACTGTCTTTTTTCCATTGGACATTCTTTCCTGCTTTGTCAAAGATGAGTTGACCATAGAGTTGAGGATCCATTTCTGGGCTCTGTATTCTGTTCCATTGATCTATGTGTCTGTTTTTGTGCCAGTACCATACTGTCTTGATG